ATCCCCACTGCAACCCCCCTGCAACATTCCCAGGTCAAATCTGCCCTGCTCCCTGCTCCGTCACAATATGCCAAGGCCCCTTCAGCCTTAAAAAGGGGCCAAAAACGGCCCTCGCTCACCTGGGGCCTCCTGGCCAGCGAGGAGATGCAGTAAGGGCCCTGCTTCCAGCCCCCAGTGCAGGGATGGATATGGGGCATTCCTGAAATACACTGCTTCGGGGAGGGAGGGGAGAGCATGGGAAGGAGAGTAAGAGTTAGAGCAGCCCTGGGGCTGCTCTAACTGCCTCACAGGGACACCACTGGTAGCGGGAGTGGGCTGCTGCCATTGTTATCCACGATCCACCAAGCAGTGAGTCGGAGCTGGAGGCTGGGATAGCCGTTGAATTGCAGAAACATCCTTCCCTCTGGGATCTGATAGGAAAATCCCAGAGACAGCTCACCACGGCCCCCAACAAGGGATTTGCAGGGCAGGCGGAAAGCACTCTCTCCCCTTGGCCAATTTGCATAATCTAATTTGCCTTGTGGCTCATTAAGCCTCACACTGCAATGAATTCCCTGCTGTGGAGCCAGGGATTCCAGTCCCTGAGCTAAAAGGGGAAGTACAGAGGGCCGACCTGCAGCTGTGTGAACGTGCCCAAAGCCTGCACTGCGCCCGCCTGTGTGAGATGAAAAGTGTTCGGGGTAAGCTCCAGATAACGGAGCCCGGGGACATTTCGCGCTTTGAAACTTTTGAAAACGGTTTGTTTCCCATTTGTAACTTTTTCCATTTTTGATGAGAGAGCCGCCCAGACCTGAACTACTTCTGTTTTGAGAAGTGAAGAAAAGATGGTTGGTTGGTTTTTCTTTTTCCAGTTATTACACCCTGGCCGTCTTTTTCAGCAGGAAATCGGGGGGGGGGGAGGTGAAAAAAATCACAACAGGAAAAAATAATTTTAAATTTTGTAAACTGAAAATGATCCAGATTTTCTGGGCTATTTTTCTTTGGGGGGAAAAAACCAGGAACTTTTGAGCTTAGGGTGGAAAATGCTTTCAGAACATTTAAGAACAATCTGTTACCCTTTTTTCGAGCGGCGGTGGTAGCCAAGAGTCACTACCACTCTCTTTCTGCATTTGCTGGCGCTTTCCCATTTTCTGTGGGGAAACTTACTCCTGGGTCACAACTGTTCATTATTTAGTAACATGAGAGCTGCCATAAAGGGCCAGCCCAACGGTCCATCTAGCCTGGTAGCTTGTCTCTGACTGTGGTCAGCACCAGAGCTTCAAGGGAATGAACAGAACAGCCCATCTTCTTGGTTTCTGTCAGTCAGAGGTTAAGGATCACCCTAAGGATGATGGGGTTACATCCCTGACCAGCTTGGCTAATAGCCACTGATGGACCTGTCCTCCAGGAACTTATCTAGTTCTTTTTTTAACCCCATTATACTTTTGGCCATTACAGCATCCCATGGCAATGAGTTCCACAGGTTAATTGTGCATCGTGTGAAAAAGTATTTCCTCTAGTTTGTATTGAACCTGTGGCTTATTGAAGCGGGGGGCCCCCTGGATTTTGTATTCTGGGAAAGGACAAATAAGACTTCACGTTCTCCACACCATTCATGAGTTTGTAGATCTCTATCACAGGGGTTCTCAACCTTTTTCTTTCTGAGGGCCCCCCCAACATGTTATAAAAAAAATCCACGGCTCACCTGTGCCACAACAACTAGTTTTCTGCATATAAAAGCCAGGACCGGCATTGGGGGGTAGCAAGTGGGGTAATTGTCCTGGGGCCCCGGGAACCTAAGTTGCTCAGACTTCAACTTCAGCCCCAGGTGGCGGGGCTCAGGGCCCCAGACTTCAGCCCCATGCAGTGGGACTTCAGCTTTCTGCCATGGGCTCCAGTGAATCGAATGCCAGCCCTGCTTGGGGACCCCCTGAAACCTGCTCATGCCCCCCAGGGGGCCTCGGATCTCTAGTTGAGAACCACTGCTCTATCACATCCCCCCTTAATCTTTATTTGTACTAAGGCAGCAGGGTTGTCCTTGGACCAGGTGTTTTCCACACACAACAAGAGGCAGAAGGTCTAGACAAAATAGGGGAAAGTTTATAGTTCTCTGTTTTCAGGTGGGGAAACTGAGGCAGAGAGCGACTAAGTGTTTTAGAGGAATTGTTTTGTTATGGGAGGTTGGACTAATGGGCTTTAGACCCAGGGGACACTGGACATCTAATATCCCCACCTCCTCATTTTCTCATTGACGTAGCAGCTGTTACAGAGACTTACCCATGTGTCTGACCTGTCTGTGCCTGGGTGAGGCTAGCTAAGGCAGGGAGGTCCCATGGCAGAGGGGCTGGCCTGGCGTGGGGGTCCCTTGGTGGTGGGGCGGTCTGGCGGGGGGGGTCCCTTGGTGGAGGGGCTGGCCTGGCGTGGGGGTCCCTTGGTGGTGGGGCGGTCTGGCGGGGGGGGTCCCT